GGGGGGGGGGGGGTCAATCATTAACTGCATCAAAATTGGGAGATAGCTGACATGAATATTGTGCATTTTTACAGACTGGTGATTCCTTACCTGACCTGTCTCTTCAAAGCGTTTCCTGTCTGAACTGTCAATCACATAAATCTGTGAGGAAGATGGAAAGAGCCCTGCAGTGCAACACACACGAGGTCAGGTGACATCATTACAAACAATGCAAGTTGGTACTTAGGTTATAGATATGTAATGAGATAATTAGAACCTAGACAACGAGGCATTATGTTCAAACATAATTAACAGCAGGTGGTCCAGCTCCAAACCACTTCTGTTTTGTTAACAGGGTTACCTGAAAGCACGTTATTGCATAACAGAGACAACACACCAGAGCAGAAACAATGCAAGGCCAGGTGCCACGGGCAACCTCGGCCAATCACGACACGCCCTGGTGTGATTAGGATTGGCACAGATTAATCCAGAAGAGCCCGAGCTCCGAGTGCATGAGGCAAGAAGCAATAAGAGCACAGACTTAGCTGTTAGCCTCTTGCCATGGCCTACATTCACAGGGGCCTTTGATTGGACAGCTAGGGTCAGACAAGTGCACAGCAATAAGATTATTCTATTGGTCTGACTGTAAAAATGAGGGATGCTTATGAGGTCTACTTATACACTGATGTCACTGTACTTTTTGAGCCAGCCAACTAAAAAGACAGCAGATTATCTAGCCACATCCTTGTGACATAGCTAATGTCACAATTGCTGTAGCTTACATACCTGAGCAGGCAACAATAATTAGGACTAGCTAAGTAAATTGAGAGACCACAGGTGACTCTCTGTAGTCAGGTAAGAGACTAGGGTACCTTATTATTGCAGGAATCAGATTAAGCCATACTTATTGTTTTAGATAGCTGATTGCCAATCACAAGGTAAAAACGTGTCCATAACATTTGAAACATTGTTCTTAGCTAGCTAGCTATAGCAAGCCTATGCACCACAGTAGCACGACTGATATGATTGGTTCTGTTCTGACAGTTACAACACAGTAATGAATGATTTGCTTGAATGGCAACAGACATGTTCAGCCAGGTACAAACCTTATTGGCAGGTTCAGACTGTAGTTGGCTAACGTTAGCAGTTAAGTACTGCGCTAGCTAACGTTAACGTTAGCTGCGTCACACTTACTTAGGGATAACTGACTACTTTTTTTGTATTTATTTTTAATTATGAACAATAACACAAATACAAAAACAGAACTATACAGACAAGTGTACATACACTTAACCTAGACAGGGATATTACATGTCGAAATAAATGTTCCATTTGTCAAAAAGTTTTATGGTACGAATTGCTTTTTTGTTTTTACATTTACTGATAATTTCAAAATAATGTTTCAGTTCTATCTTAATGGGATAACTGACTACTCTCTCACCCATACCAATACAATATTGTATACTACATGACCAAAATTATGTGGACACCTGCTCGTCGAACATATCATTCCAAACTCATGGGCATTAATATGGAGTTGGTCCCCCCTTTGCTGCTATAACAGCCTCCACTCTTCTGGGAAGGCTTGCAACTAGATGTTGGAACATCGCTGCAGGGACTTGCTTCCATTCAGCCACAAGAGCATTAGTGAGGTTGGGCACTGACGTTGTGTGATTAGGCCTGGCTCACAGTCGGCGATCCAATTCATCCCAAAGGTGTTTGATGGGGTTGTGGTCAGGGCTCTGCACAGGCCAGTCAAGCTCTTCCACACCATTTCTGTATGGAACTCGCTTTGTGCACAGGGGCATTGTCATGCTGAAACAGGAAAGGGCCTTCCCCAAACTGTTGCCACAAAGTTAGAAGCACAAAATTGTCTAGAATGTCATTGTATGCTGTAGTGTTAAGATTTCCCTTCACTGGAACTAAGGGGACTAGCCCAAACCATTAAAAACTGCCCCAGACCATTATTCCTCCACCAAACGTTACAGTTGGCACTATGCATTTGGGGCTTCTAGCGTTCTCCTGGCATCCACCAAACACAGATTAGTCAGTCAGACTGCAAGATAGTGAAGCGTGATTCATCACGCCAGAGAACGCGTTTCTACTGCTCCAGAGTCCAATGGCGGCGAGTTTTACAACCCCCCAGCTGATGCTTGGTATTGCGCATGGTGATCTTAGGCTTGTGTGCAGCTGCTCGGCAATGGAAACCCATTTCATGAAGCTCCTGCTGAACAGTTCTTGTGCTGACGTTGCTTCCAGAGGCAGTTTGGAACTCGGTAGTGAGTGTTGCAACCAAGGACAGCACTCAGTGGTCCTGTTCTGTGAGCTTGTGTGGCCTACCACTTCGCGGCTGAGCCGTTGTTGCTTCTAGATGTTTCCACTTCACAATAACAGCACTTACAGTTGACCGGGGAAGCTCTAGCAGGGCAGAAATCTGACGAACTGACCTGTTGGAAAGGTGGCATCGAATTTCAGCATTTAGCTAGACATACAGCTCCATTTCAACTCTTTGTTTATAATATTGCAGATGATATTGCAGGCTACTTACCATGGTTTGCTCAGCTAATGGCTCCTTTTCAGGCTATGTGGATTAGCTAGCAAAGTAGCTACAGTAGTAGCATCTGACTGAATTAATTATTCGAACAGCTGTGAAACTCTCCGTAGTTACCACAGTCAAAGTTAAAATAGGCTATATCGTAAAATGGTCTTCATTTAAGGTTAGCAGTGTGGTTAAGGTTAGGGTTAAACTATTCGGATAGATTTGAGAAATAAACGGGGTTTATGACTTTGTGGCTGGGGTAACTAGTGACGACCTCTCCGTAGCTTTGGTAGCCGTGACGTCAACATAAAGCACAACCCTGGCCATTCTTTGACCGGGCGTAGCCACTTTGAGCCATTTTTACATTTTAGTCATTTAGCAGACGCTCTTATCCAGAGCGACTTACAGTTAGTGCGTGCATACATTCTCATACTGGCCCCCCGTGGGAATCGAACCCACAACCCTGGCGTTGCAAGCGCCATGCTCTACCAACTGAGCTACACCCCCATCATAACCCCACAATGAATGATCGATTGTGTGCAAAACATTTATATTTGCGATTATTTCAGTTTTTCTAATTAAAATCTATGGAAATACTACGAAATGCCAATGTTAATAAATGATCATAATTTCCTGTGGCTTATCTCACTCAGACAAAAGGTCTACAGGTAACGTGCTCTTAGCTATAATTTGAGACTTTTTCCATAGTAAGTATTTACTATTAGCTATTCTTTTTCTTGTCTGAGTGAGATGAACGTTACTACAGTACTAGCAAATATATTGTTTTATAAATATCTCAAGATAGACCACAGCCTATCGTTTCCAATATGAGCAAATGAATCATAGTGGGCAGAACAAGCAAGGAGGTGGCAGAGCCAAGCACGAGCTAGTGAGACCCTATTGGCGTGTTCTAGCAAGTATTTGCATATTTCCGTTAGGGAACGCCTACTCTGTGAAGTGCGCGTGGGCAATAACTACATTTTTAAATACTTTGGCAAATGGTAAAGTCTACAAAACTTAGTTCACTCTGTTAGTAACATATTTTAGTTTTGGGAACAGAAAACTGTATTGAGATCAAATGTTTAATCGATGTTTAATCTTCTCCCACTGCCGGCCACTGGGCTTCCTTTCGTCACCATATTTGGTGGTGAGTGGAAACGCCAACCGGATGCTTCAGATTGAAACATCTGGCTCATTGTTCTATCTGTGGTACCAGTTTAAATTGTATCAGCTGCACAAAAGTAATACTTCTCCAGTTGGTGTTGTATGACACAACACCGCCCTCAAGTGGCTGGTAACAAAATATAACTATTCTGTTCTGGTTGAGAATCAGAACGCCTTCCGACAGGGACAAAATATGTCTCGCACGTAACGGTTTGAATTAGCTGTTCAAGTTCTGGAACAACTGCTATATGATTCCCGTCGTGTTCTCGGCCAACAACGGGGAAATATGCCACAGAAAACACTGGGATCCATTGTAGGTCTGCTTTGCACCGGGACCTGGTTGGTACAGGTAAGCTGCAGTTTGCTTTCATAGCGCTGTAGGCGCTTTCAACCAAGACCGTGGATCGCAGCTGGAAGTAGGCCTTCTATTGTGCGTTTTTGTTTCCCCACAAAGGAACTTGGGCATGGCTCGCTAGCAACTCCAACTTTGCATGACGTCAGTTTGGACAAATCGAGTGTTTCTTGATATAGTTACACAATGTTTATAACTTGAAATACATATACGATCTTATCCGAAATCTTACCATCTACCAATTAGCTTGCAGCTCAACACCCTTTAAGACTAGCTGATAAACTAGCCACAGCTAAATAGCTCGTTAGCTAACGCTTGCAAACATTTGTAGACAATACGGCAATATAATTGATCTGTTATACTGTAAGTGGCCACAATTTGAAGTATACAATAAAAAAAATAAACACTTCAATAGCTGGTTGTTAACTACCACCAGTAAACAAACATAGCTAGCTAGCATGCTAAATTACCAGTTAGCTGGCTAACTTTGTAGCTAACGTTAACTAAATGCGTTTTTCCTGTTATTTATTTGTTGGCAGTGATGCATAGCTTGCTGTTACTGTTAGCTACTGGCCACACACCTGTTGTTGATTAGCTAGCTTACCTCAGTAGTACCTAGTTAAAAAGGTAACGTTAGTTAACTAACCTTCTTTAAAACTACTTTGTGAGGGCATTTGGCAGCTTCTACGATGACATGGTTGTATAATCATGAGATGTCACTTAGCTAGCTACCTATTTTGTATTTTGATTTTCAAAACATTGAATGCGCTTACAATTTTCATCCCCAGTGAAAGTATGTCTGTGCCTTTGCAGGCATGCTTTCTACAGTGTTTTGTGGAGTAAATGCCAATGTGAAGTTATGTCAAACAGTTGTGCGTGCGTGTATGCATAATACATAGCTTTTTTCATATTTGTGTTGTGTGAGATGTCACTGAATAACATGCCTGTGTGTATGTTTGTGTTTAGGGAAAGGAGTTCTGTTTTGGAGTGAACAATGAGCAATACCGGTGTGAGATGGGCTACTGCTGCGGGGAGACCGAGTGCTGCACTTACTACTATGAGCTGTGGTGTATGTTCATTGTCCTCTATTCTCTCCTCTCTTTTTCTGGCACCACTCAGTCCCTATTTCCTCCCCCGTTCCCATATTTATTTTCTGACGATTTTTCCATTACTTATTCTTCATGATAGGAATCTCTGAATTTGTCACTTTGTTTAATTGAGTCACTAATTTGACAGTTAATCATGTTTTGGTGCTGAAATCAATAACGTTTAACCTAATTAGCATAGGTCAAAAGGAGTCGATGGAGAATGTAACTATGTGATTGTTTTGTGCAAGTGTAATAGATGTTAATCCTACTCTCCTTGCTTTGTGTTTAGTTTAATAAATCACCCCAGCCAGTGGTCCCAGTTGATCGTTATTTATTATCTGTGATTAAATAGGAAACGGCATGTTAGTTGTGATGTTGATGGCTGTCTGGTAAGATCTGTAGCATGAAAACAACTGTTAGCAGTGAGCTTATGTGACCATTACATTGGTGCATGCTAGCTAACACTCTTATACAGCAATCATATACCAAAGCACATCCCAGGAAGCTCCTCAATCCCTAACAGGTACCATATACCCACACATGTATAAATCAGGAATGTACAGCAAACTTGTACACATTGTAAAATATAAAAATAGAATACAGTATTCAGAACGTGACCTACCCTTTGCATCACATTTTCATACTGGGGAGACCTAACGTTCTCAATCTTCCCCTATCTGCAAGCGGCGCCAATAACAACACGCCTTATTGTCATCGGAATTGAACCAACCAATAAGAGTGCTTGAACATTAAATACACATTTCTTTAGAGGCAAGTGGAAACATAACCAACCCTGTTACACAGGGTTCTGGCTGGTGTGGACCCTCATCATAATGCTGAGTTGCTGCTGTGCCTACCGTCACCGTCGGGTCAAGATGCGGCTGCAGCAGGAACAGCGCCAGCGCGAAATCAGCCTTATGGCCTACCAGGGCGCTTCCAGCTCTTTCATCTCCCCTCCACCCCTCAACTTGAGTGAGTCTTTTAGCTCCCACGGGACACTTATTGCCCCCATCTGCACTGGGCTGGAAGCCTCCAAACCCTACAGCCCTGAAATTACTTCACCACCTGTCCCTCTGAGTTAACTGTTTACAATAACTAGGCCTGGTGGTTGCAGATGGTTCTTAGCAGATTCAGAACCACATCTGACAATGAGTTAATTAGTTAAACACCAGCTAACCCTATCGAGACTGGTAAGATGGCTGACTCCTGTGTTTTTTTTGTATTTACTCCCAGGGTTCTGGACAGACTGCAAGCTTCCTGACTATGAAGAGGTGGTGGGTCATCCCCCGACTCCCCCTCCACCTTACTCCGAGATCCCCCCAGGGACCACCCCTGCCATCCTACTGCCCCCCATCCAATCAGAAGCTGCCGTGGTGCTGGAGCCCCCAATAGAGGACATTCCAAGAGAGGAGCAGGCCTCTAGTTCCTCAGCAGACCAGGAATCTGCGTCTGCGCCCAGCCAATCAGAACGACCGCTGGAGGAGGAGCTGATGACCCGGCGCAGGCATGTGACGGGCGACTCGGGGATCGAGGTGTGTGTTTGCCAACTGGACGAGGGCTCTGGGCCGGAGGAGGACGAGGAGCGGGTGTGTCAGGGGGCCAGGGGGGACTGCTGCTCTGCCTCTGAGCACCACCACAACATCAGACACAAAGAGAGAACCCCTGAGCCTCAGCCCAAGGGCCAGACCACCAGCACCGGAGACCGCCTGGTCTGAGCTCCACCACCAACCACCCAGAGGCTGCTGCTCCTGCCGGATCTTCGCTTTAGGGAAGGAGACCCAGGAGTGCCCTTGTCATTGTCATCATAACAATAATCCAGACACCACCAGCAAATGAAATGCCCCACAACGACTCACCAAATTAACCAGGTTGTCCTGCTGTTTGACATGCTTGTCAGTTATGATCCATAAAATGACGCCAATGATGACAAAAAGAAAAGTTTATTTGAGAAAGATGTTTCATGTGGCTGATGGTTTAATTCTTTAATACCCATGGATGGTCCCTCGTCTGCTTTGTTTAGTTCTTGCCATGGGGATGATGAGAAAATGCCAACTTCTAGAGAGATCTACCAAGTGGTAAGAAGAGGTACTGACGCTGTCACAGAATTGACTACATCTACCCACCCACCCCTGTCCCTCATTCTCCCACCCTACTGTCTGGCCTGGACATTTCCTCTGGTCCTTCTAACATTTCACCTCCGTGGGGACAGGGCAGGATGGCATACCACCACGGTCACCAATCCCCAGACCCCTAGGCTCCAGCACATAGGGGCCAAAACATAAGATAATGCTACCAGACAGTCCTGACCAGGGGATACAAACTGTGACGGATAGAACTCGTTTTGTTTTTGCAGGGGTTTGTGTGTGTACTGTGTAATCTAGGGCACAGCTGCAAAGTGATGTCACCCCTGAGGTCATCTTAGCCTGCATCTGGTTTCCTTGTGGAGCGACAGCAGGGCTATTTGCATCCAGAGAAGAGGTTGGGAAGGGGAAGTGAAGATGTGCCTGTCTCTTATAGCCTCTCTCTCTCTGGACTGTCCCAATAGCATCAGACTCCCCTCTACCCGTCCCTCATGTCTCCACCAGTACTCTGGTCAACACTTGGCCAGACTGAAAGGTATTGAATGGACTGGAACGGACGTTTTGATGTGTGATCTCTGGTCTGAGGGGCCAAGTGAACTGAAGACGTGACATTATCCCATCGCTGTGCCTGTAACTTGGTGTCTATAAAAAGCCTTGTGGTGGTCGACCGTGTGTGTGTGTGTCCCAGACCGGTGGTGATATAACGTGGTGTGTGTGGAGGGGTCAGCAGCATTTTGAAGGACTGACAGTCTCTCACTGAGTGGTAAGGGGTATGTTGTTGGGAATAAAAGTACAAACCAGAGGAGGGTGGGAAGACTAAAGGTCCGGCAGTGTAGTACTTTGCCCCTCTATCATTTTCTTGTCTTAGTGTTACTTCTCTAAAAACCTGCTTTAGCTGAGACCACTATAACCCACATGAATGGCAACACCGCTGTTATCCAGGGGCTGCTGTGAGTGTGGTCGTATTTAGCGTATCCTCAGTGTCCTGGCCCCTGGTGTAAGTTAGTGCACTCAACTCACCAGGCTTTAGACCACTTTTATTTAAAGAAATGCACTGGGATCTTGTATAGAGGGCATGAGTAATTAATGTATGTGTCTGCCTGTGTAGCTAGATGTGTGTTTTGATTCGTCGTGTCAGTAACGGTGTGTTTTCTGCACGTGTTTCATATAGTGGACCACTCCCAGGCAATTGGCCCCAAGCTGACAATGACGAGTTGCCGCTGTTTTTACCCAGTAGCAGCCGGAGCCTGATAGTGGCGCTCCTTTTCCGCCACGAGTCCCCTGGCCGTGTGGGGGCTCAGACGGAGTGAACCAAGGTTTAAGTATAGACACCATGTATCTAGTTTCATCATTTTATGACTTTGCACTGGGCCTGCAATGTGCTGTTGCATACTCCCTTGGCTTGCAGTGGTGTGAATCCTGTAGAAGCAATGCAACAGATTTGTGTTGGTATTTTCCATTCAGTGGGGGTGGCTTTGCTGTGTGTGCAGTGTTAGTGCAGCTGCACACTCTGTTATGATAAACCAGTGACGTGCGTTGCTTGCCCAGCATGTGTCGAAGCTTAGCTGTAGAATTGGGTGGTGGAGTGAATGTGATTTTTACTCTGCAGTTCCACCTAAAATAAGAAGCACAAAAGTCCAGCTGCTTTGGGTGTGTGTGTTTAAATGGCAGTGATGATAAATGATAGTTTTATTATTTAGGGTATTGATTTGCTTTCATGCAGCACTTACTGATCAAGTAGGTTATGGACTGATGCACTGTTCATTATTTCACTGCTAATGAAAAAGGAAATTGACTCGGACATTAATTTCAACTATCAATCAATAAGTTGTCTGTCTTCAAGCGTGTGAAGTCTTGACACTCTGTAAAAGTAACGCTTGAAAGTCAGAGGTTAGAGTCATGCACTCACAAAGACTCACCCGCTCATATTAGCACACTAACATGTTTTTGATAAGACACCATAAGCTGCCTTGGTAGGTTGCTAGGGAACAGACATGAAATGAGGCTCAAGATGCACCACAACAGAGTGGTATCCTACGAAGCAGGTTTGAGGAGTTTGGTGAACTTGGTGAGTTCAACTCGGGATAACCGGTCATACGAAAGTGGCTCACATAGAGATCCTAGGATTCTAATTCCTAATTCTATGGTGGCTCAACTTTTAGCCAGGTACATTTCTATGGCAATGAATCCTTCAGAACTAACCTGCTCCGGGGTAGGTTAACTCACGGCTAACTCCACTAATCATGAATGAAATGACTGAGCCTTGAGTTGAGGACCAATGAAATCAGATTCCCTCCCTCTTGCAAAGATTGTGTCATCACCTTCATTCGAGGGAGATGACTGATTTTTTAAATGTTATTCATGGTGGTAGTACGGATGAAGCCTGTGCTGTAATGTGAAGCTGGTTAGCTTTAGAAAACCCTGAGTAGATCTAGCTTGCTACCCCTCAGAAGGCATATGAACAGGCTCATTTTAAGTGCTCCTTCTGAGGCATAGGGAAATAAATGCCTTACTGTGGCATGGTGGTCAAATGTTGTTAGGGACAGGTAGACTAAATGTTTTTTGGCTTCTGTGTTTGACGAGTAGGCGATTATATTAAAGACTTGTGCTTTTAAAGAAGGCAAAAATGTTTGAGACCCCCCCATGTTTGAAGCATGGTGTGCATTGTTTTTCCTAATAGGCCAGAGGAGTCCTTTATACAAATGGAGTCCGAAGTGTAAAAGTGTCTCGGAGTCTGACGTATCAATCGGCTCAACTTATTCTAGGATGTGGTTATGAGTAGCAGGAAACGTAACAGAGTGAAACCACAAGACAAGATCCTATCATGTTGTAGAAACTGTGGCCTGTAGAATAGGCAACATTTATTTTGTCAGAAAGGTTGTGTATGACATTTAAAATGCCATTGGCTTTTCCTTTGATATCTGTGCTTATGTTGATCCGTTTTTTTCCCACCCCCATTTTTATTTAGTGATCATTGTATTTTTATTTCAAGGATATGATCGAGATAAGTTTGATGTTTGAACTGACCTGAAAGGATGTTGAATTAGTAAATCAGAAGGGGGAAAAAAACGATGTTAAGAAATCCTTTGTTTAGTTTTTCTTGTGATCATATGAGATATGTTTGTTTTTTGAATGTTTGGGGGGGGGGAAACGACAAATGTAGATGCTAAAGTGCGTTTATTTTTATGCAAAATAGATAAATGAAGATGAAGAAATTGAGAGGGTGATTAATGTTTTTGAATAAGAAAAATGGGGACCCATAGTTTTTCAGTCCCATTGCTCACTAATTACTGGGCAAGATTATTGCCAAACAAACTCTTGTTTTGGTTTTCACATGTTTACCTAGATAAAGGGCTATCAGTCAGTCATGGACGAACATCCATCCATTCATTCATCTGCTCTGTCATTTCCTCTTACCTACAGTTGCAGACACCGGCGATATCTGAACATATTTCATTGGACATCTTTTCTGTAGTACTCGTGTGAATAATAGGCAATTTAATATTTTGAATTTTAGGCATCTTTTGCCTTTTTGTTCTTTGTTTGCTTTTGTTTCAATGGTCACAGAGGCGCGTGAAGCTCTTATCCCTCGCTCTATCTCTCTTTCTCAATCCCCCCACCCAGTCCGCTATGGCCCCTCACCGTATACCAGCACAGAGGGCACACAGTAGGATGAGTGTCAGGTTGGGTATGTGGTCCCTGATGAGGTAACTAGCCCCAGGTGTGATAGTGATGGGGGCTTTAGCCATGGCTCATTGCATCCCTCTGGACCATGAGACACCACTTCCCCCCCCGGGGGGGCCCGACCATACCGAGCATGGTAACAGAAACTACGTGGCAACCCACACCAATGTTTGTCTTTCTGAGGTGGGGTTTTGCCTCTGCATATATCACCCTTAAGATAGTGCAGGCACAGTGCACAATTATCTTTTGAGATTGTTTGCCTGTACTCTACCTAAACAATTACTGTACTCAACCCACACGTCTTGTCTCACACACATACACTCATACGGTCCTATTGTCATGAATAGCAAACATTCTGTTTTTTTATGGGCATCTGTATTTGGCATCGATCAGAAATCTAGCATTAGCACCAATGCCATCAGTTGTCAGTTCCAGTTTCATTTACCTTGCTCACTATGCTAAAGCCCTCTCATTGGAGAATACCTGTCTTCCTCCTTTCACCCTAAGTGTTCCCCTCTTCATTTCTGCTCCACGCGCCTCTGTAATGTACTGTAACTGACTAGCCTATGCAAAAAAAAAAACATAAACCCACTGATTATATGCTGCAATAACCCTTCTCTGTTTGTCTGTGGTTGCCAGTACAAGCAATATTACTCTCAGTACGTCGCACTGTACCTCAGTTTTAGTTCTATTGCTACTATGGTGTGTTTCGTGTGTATGCTTTGAAAGTAAATGTGTATATCTACATGTTACCTCTTGGTGGGTGGGTAGTGGGTTGGGGAGTAAAGATAAAAAGCCATTCTAGTTCATTTTGTATTTTGTTTCATTAGTAACATGGTGGATAGAAGTACAGTCTGCTGTCATTCTAATCTGCTAAGAATATTACTCTTGCTTACTTATTATTGAGGATGGAAAAAATAAGAATCTGTTAACTTTGGTGTAAGCTAAAGGAGTGTTTTGAATGCTTTTGTTGGATTAATGCTATTTAATCTCTCCTCAGACTAATATTATTCTGTTTGTCCTGTGGGTACCTTTGCCACTGTTCCACCCCTTGTGTGTTGTGCTGTCATGGTGCATTTGGTGTATTTGTAAACAGTGACATGGCTTGTTTTCTGTATTTGAGGAATTTTCAGTGACTACTGAACGGTTGCTTTCTCTTCTTGATTGCCCAACCTTTGATATAGAAGATAGTGAATGTGACCTGTATCAAGTATGGAAGCCAATCTAAACCCAATGCTAGATAACTGAGTGGAGAAATTGATCAGGTCTCTTAAATGAGCTGTTGAAGGGTTGTTTAGGGTACACATCTGCTAGCCCAGAAGTTTGTTTTAGATGATCTCTCACTAAGTGGTGGGTTGCACTTGTAATTATACATCACCAAGGCAACAATATACTCGCACCATAATCTAAGGATGCTCTATTAACCAACATGTAACCCAGATGTTTCTTTAATTTCTCCCTCGAAACCATAGATAATGTCAAGCGGATGTTGATGTTGTGGCTGATTCGTATGTAGAAAGACTTTTGCCAAAACAATAAATACCCACGCTAGAGAAGGAAGCGGTCGTCCACAAGCGCAGACCCTTTCACTTTCTTTTTCCTATCTAGATCAAGACCCCAAGAAAGAGAAAAAAAATGGTGGTACATTTGAATGCTTTGGTTTAGTAGGGGGTCTGCTGTGAACTCTTGGGTCATTTGGATTTTATTTTGTAATAATAAAACAAACATTGGCACTGTCATTTGGCTCTGATTTTTACTCTGTTGAATGCTGCATTGTTTCTCAACCCTATAGTGTTGACATTGATGGACTAGCTGAGGGCATAACCTACTCCACTCAGCCGGAGGTGCCCCACCCAGGCATCTGAAGTAGTTGAGATATTGATCTTGAGGAGCACAGCAGGGCAGTGTGAGATGGTGCCTGAAGCATGCGGCTCAGTCATTATTGATGAGTACCCCAAGGCATGGCCTCTCTATTAACATGCTCTTCTTCAGGGACAAAGACAGTCAACAATATAATAGTCCCACTTTGCCAGACATGCCTGGGGCAAAGCTTCAAGTTTAAAATAAGTGCAGAACAAGCAGACCTTGTGATAAGTAAACTAACCATGTGTTGTTTGTCATGATATACAATCACATGACTTGTGAAGAGTAGAATACTGGTATTTCCACTGCAGCATTATTAGACTTCTAGGGTAAAACAACATTACCTGCCATTTGGTTGAAATTAGGCCTATCTATCCAGAAAATACACTTATCCATAGTCTCTGAATGGTCACTTCCATGTAATTAACCTACTTTACCATCTCCAGAGCAGAAGTAAGGAAACAATGTCACTAAAGGTTGTTCTTTAATGGCAACAAAAACACAAGTGTACCATCAACATAGTAAAAAAGCTCCCGTATTTTACATTCCTCAGTGGAAAGATGAGGTCAAATAGGGGGTGCTTATATTTGTCCTGTTTCACACACGTACAAGCGTGTTGTAAAATGTTTTTTTTTTGCATATCCCACTCCTGAGACGCCCTTTGACGGCGACCCGGGAGCAAATAAGGTTAAGTGCCTTGCTCAAGGACAGATATTTTTTACCTAGTCGGCTCGGAGATTCGAACTAGCAACCTTTCAGTTATTGGCCAAACGCTCTAACTGCTAGGCTACCTGCCACCCCACACTGAGACAAGGTGGCTTAACAAGAGGGATAAAAGGAAGCATGGGCAATTGAGAGCAGTGCAACAATGTCTTCAAACATTGCTCATTAGGAGACAAAACACCGGGTTCAGATACAGTGAGGCTCAGTGGGTGAGTTTCTATCTCAGAACATGTGGAATTATAATGGATTGCGTCTGCAGTATCCCATTTCCAAACTATCCCTTTCAGAGCAGGGATTATATCATTCCTTAAAATGACTTTGAAATGTTATTGGTTGCGTACTGATGTCAGGTCTGGGAGAAACTGCAACATACACATTGTTCTGGAATCCATACCACTGGCTAGGGCTATTTGGTAATATGACACAAAACAACAAAAAGGGTACAGCACAGCCTGACACTTATAGTGAAACAAAGTGTCTGTGGCTTGAAAATAAAGCTTTTTCAACCACAAGAAGACATGAGATGCAGCAAAGCCTCACTTGTGCTCTCTTCCGCATAACTTACAAATTTGAGTACACCACACATAACAATTAGAAGACACAGACAATGTGAATTAAGTTAAAACAGTGTACTAGGAACAATCAAATGTAACAGGCAACTCATTTAAATAAATTCCCCTAAGAACATGCAACCTGAAGGGAGAGGGATCGGTCACCTTTCCATTTCATATGGTCATACACACAATAATAAAATCAACAAGCTACCTAATCAATCATGACAAACGGAGTTAAAAATGACCTTAATTACCTTCATGCACTCTACAGTAACTATTGTACATTCAATTTGACAAGACACGATAAAACAAATGATTTGCAACCATACATCTTTCAAGCTAACAAAATATGTATGAGAGTATGAGAATGAATTAAAACAGTCTGAATCAATTGAAATGCACAAAGACTTACATTGATTGCAAGCACCATAGAGGCAAATATGACATAACTATCCCAACGCTGTTTCTAGAGCGAAGCAGAAAAGTGCCAGAGTGGTTCTGCTGATGGGAGCTGGTCATGTGGGCTGTTGAGTAAGAACACATCGGATACTTTGTCCCTTTGACATTCTAAAACAACTCATCTGTCAGTATAAATCCATCTCTCCAGACCCTCAAAAAGACAACAAAACTAAACCAGCAATGGCAGAGTCCAGTGTAGCCAGCAGGGGAAAAAATTGTGTCTTTTGTGATAAGAGGCACCAAATTTCACACACAGATAGGGCATGTCTAAATAAGTATTTTTGGCTATAGTGTCATCGCAGATTTTGTCCATTACCCCCCTGCCGGCCAATTAGCCGCTGGACTATGACAACACGGGTCATTTCAAGCTGTCAGTACATGTCCATAATCATATGCTCTCTATTTGTGTGTAGAGTAAGGCCTGGTTGGTGAGGATGGGGGTGGGGACAGGAAGTAAAAAGGTATCAGTGTCTCTCTACTTATGGCAGGGGTCAGTGTGGTTTGTTGCTGTAGTGTTTAAATGCATCCATCCGCTGCTCAGTCTTTTCCAGGATTCACTAGTGTTGTCCCAGGGCTACCGCTGTCTGTCAGCATATTGGTTTACATTGGGAGGTCAGTGTCTCCGTCTTGTTCTCATTTCAGTCTCGTCAGTCACTTCAGTCTCGTCAGTCACTTCAGTCTCGTCAGTCACTTCAGTCTCGTCAGTCACTTCAGTCTCGTCAGTCACTTCAGTGTCTTAGTGCAGTTTTGTCCTCAGACTGCAGTAATAGTGGTTATGATGGGAGGCCTCTCTCTCTCTCTCCGTCTCAGTAGAAGCGTTTGCGTCTGTTCTCATTCCAGTGGCTGTAGACGATGAGGCCGACCACGATGAGCAGGAAACAGCCCAGCATGGAGAAGAGGATGATGAAGAACATGGCAATATTACTCCACCCCTCTTCATTCTCACCCACTGACAGAGAGATAGAGTGAGAGAGAGATGTTAGGATGGATAGAAAAGGTAAAACATTGAGGTGACAAGAGTGACAAGGAGCCCTAATAAGTAGGCATAAGCCTTGGACCCAGAGCGGCCCATAGGTGCATGAGCCTATCTCCTGTTGCTACAGCGTGAGGCAGCTTGATGTACAATTACACGCCCTGGACAGGACGCTAGTCTATCGCAGGCCAGGGCCTTACCTCCAATCCATCTCCTTATTGCTGAGTGATAAGCAGAAAGGTATTTTTTGGTATGATCAGGGATCGAACACCCAACCTTCCAAACCCAGGGCAGACACTAACCAAGGCCACTGAGTTGGTTAATAGTATGTATCTGTAGCTTTTCACCAAGAATAACTATGTTACCCAAATAGAGTAACACCAATGAATGTGTATGCTCTTCTGTTTGTGTGAGAGGGGTAGCGATCCTTACTCCTTAGTAGGTCCATGTTATCTACACTGGGTAGAGTGATCTCCTCTTCTTCCTCCTTTTCCTCTGTCTCACTACGTAACACCGTCAGCTGGTACAGTTTCAGGGAGATCACATCATGATTGTCTGTGAGGAACAGAATGTTTCTGTCATTAAAAGCAAACTGCAGCAAAAGCACCTTAAATGGAACAAAATACAATAAGATATCCACAGAAGTCCTATGAAAGTACTATATTACACTGCTCAAAAAAATAAAGGGAACACTAAAATAACACATCCTAGATCTGAATGAATGAAATAATCTTATTAAATACTTTTTTCTTTACATAGTTGAATGTGCTGACAACAAAATCACACAGAAATTATCAATGGAAATCAAATGTATCTACCCATGGAGGTCTGGATTTGGAGTCACCCTCAAAATTAAAGTGGAAAACCACACTACAGGCTGATCCAACTTTGATGTAATGTCCTTAAAACAAGTCAAAATGAGGCTCAGTAGTGTGTGTGGCCTCCACGTGCCTGTATGACCTCCCTACAACGCCTGGGCATGCTCCTGATGAGGTGGCGGATGGTCTCCTGAGGGATCTCCTCCCAGACCTGGACTAAAGCACCTGGAGCGAGACATGATGTCCCAGATGTGCTCAATTGGATTCAGGTCTGGGGAACGGGCGGGCCAGTCCATAGCATCAATGCCTTCCTCTTGCAGGAACTGCTGACACACTCCAGCCACATGAGGTCTAGCATTGTCTTGCATTAGGAGGAACCCAGGGCCAACCGCACCAGCATATGGTCTCACAAGGGGTCTGAGGATCTCATCTCGGTACCTAATGGCAGTCAGGCTACCTCTGGCGAGCACATGGAGGGCTGTGCGGCCCCCCAAAGAAATGCCACCCCACACCATGACTGACCCACCGCCAAACCAGTCATGCTGGAGGATGTTGCAGGCAGCAGAACGTTCTCCACAGCGTCTCCAGACTCTGTCACGTCTGTCACATGTGCTCAGTGTGAACCTGCTTTCATCTGTGAAGAGCACAGGGCGCCAGTGGCGAATTTGCCAATCTTGGTGTTCTCTGGCAAATGCCAAACGTCCTGCACGGTGTTGGGCTGTAAGCACAACCCCCACCTGTGGACGTCGGGCCCTCATACTACCCTCATGGAGTCTGTTTCTGACCGTTTGAGCAGACACATGCACATTTGTGGCCTGCTGGCGGTCATTTTGCAGGGCTCTGGCAGTGCTCCTCCTGCTCCTCCTTGCAAAGGCGGAGGTAGCAGTCCTGCTGCTGGGTTGTTGCCCTCCTACGGCCTCCTCCACGTCTCCTGATGTACTGGCCTGTCTTCTGGTAGCGCCTCCATGCTCTGGACACTACGCTGACAGACACAGCAAACCTTCTTGCCACAGCTCGCATTGATGTGCCATCCTGGATGAGCTGCACTACCTGAGCCACTTGTGTGGGTTGTAGACTCCGTCTCATGCTACCACTATAGTGAAAGCACCGCCAGCATTCAAAAGTGACCAAAACATCAGCCAGGAAGCATAGGAACTGAGAAGTGGTCTGTGGTCACCACCTGCAAAACCAGTCCTTTATTGGGGGGTGTCTTGCTAATTGCCTATAATTTCCACCTGTTGTCTATTCCATTTGCACAACAGCATGTGAAATGTATTGTCAATCAGTGTTGCTTCCTAAGTGGACAGTTTGATTTCACAGAAGTGTGATTGACTTGGAGTTACATTGTGTTGTTTAAGTGTTCCCTTAATTTTTTTGAGCAGTGTATTATTCTATATGTAATTCTATGCCAATATCTTAGTTTCCTATTAGACTACATTCCCTCTGAATTGGACTTATGTATCACATGAATTTCATTCTGGGCAGTGTGGTCACAATGAGTTAATAACATTTTTTATAGAGATAATCTGGGATGGACATCTCACTGGAAATTAGACACCTCAATGAAACACCATCAAGTAGGAAATAAATGAAAACTAGGCGATAATTCATAGGCAATAAAAAAGTCCATGTAAATGCCATTTCATTAACACTACTATGTGAATCACATTAGAGGAGAGTACTACCAGAGAGATCTCCAGTGATGGCAGAGGCTCCAAAGTAGTACCCCTGGGGCAGCCGTACCCCTGGTATGTCCAGGCAGTCCCTCCATTCATGCTGCCCATCAATGTCAATCATAATCTAGTGGAGATAGAAATTGAGAGTATGCTTAACAGGGTATGCCAAGGCACTACCTAGTACAGTCAAGACATCATATATACCTGACATGTTTGTTGAAACAATTCACTTCAACATGACTGTTTTCTCAGACTCCAGAGTGACCCAATATGCATCTCGGATTGCATCATTATTATTTATATAGTTATTACAAAGTTATTACACAATAACTTGGCTATGATATTTCATAGAGCCTTTAAAATGTGTGTCTGTGTGTGTTCTCACCGTGAGCCTGCGGCGGACGTATCTGATGAAGATGAAAGTGTCGTGTTTGAGGTTGCGCACCATGGCGTTGCAGCCACCCAGCTCAGTGGGACGCCCGTCTCGTTCGTGGTCGTAGCTAATGCTTCCATTCCCCACCATCGCCAACACAAAGGGGAAGATCCTCTGGTGGAAGGTGTGAAAAAAGAAAGGAGTGAGACACAGAAAACAGTGAGAGAGAAGGAGAACAGGTAAAATATACAGCATTTACAACAGTACAATCCTGCTGGTACAATTTGCCTGTTGGAGAGTCACCTTATCCTTTGCCTGATTCCCTAGTAATTAAAATGCTAATTACACTCAAGGTGCAAACAATTGTTACTGGGTAGTAACCAACAACAACATGGGGCAGCATGCTCATTAGGGGTTGATGGGAGTGGCTAAGGAGAGGGGTATGGGAGGCTTTTGGTATAAGAGTTGGGTGGTCCAAACATTGGGTACCTGTGTGCGTGTGGTGTACCTCGTCTTCTGCGCCTGTCGCCATAGGGATGCACAAAACAGAGGAGCACAACACAAGACAAGGCCCTTTACACAAGTCTGTGAGCCCTGCCCAAGCAACCGTTCCAACAAAACCTCAAATATTCCACTGTATTGGCTTGCTTGTATGACTCAAGTCTGTATTGAGGTAGGATGTGTTGAGTTTCAGTTGTCTAAAGCCCCTCTCGGAGCACAGGAAGATCAGGACATTAACCCAGATTTGACAGGATATGACACATAAATAAACACCCCTGCCAGACAGTACAATGAGTGAAAAAAAACAACAGGAAGTAGTTGAGATAAAAGCCCTATGATATAATGTGACATAACATGGAACAGTACTGTAGCTACTCCTTCCCTCCACAGAAACACATAGAAGAGGCCGGCGGGTATATCCACATACCTCTAGATGTTTTTCCTCATTGGGGTACGTGTCCACAAACACACCCAGCCCTGTGAAGAGGTCCTGGTTTCCAAACACAGGACCTACACAACAGAAATACATTTAGACAGTTACAATGCACCGACGCTATGATATTTCTGTTGGAACTACATTGTGGGGATAGTACCTTTCTGCATGCGCTCCTTGGTGTACCAAATTGCCAGTCCATCCCCGTTCAGATTCTTCTTGCCTTGGCCATGAATCTTAAAGTGCACTTGTAACTCCCAGTCCCTTAGGTGACAGGGCTGGACACACAAACACACATATATATGACCATTTAGACAAAGCCATGCAAAATGTGATATGCATAGAGAGAATCAGTATCAGTTATGTAGACATAATAACAGTGTGCAGTGTTCTGTAGGTTACTCACAATGCGGCTCCACACTGCCCCCTGCTTGCTCTGCATGTCAGATGTGAGGCGCACCTGATCTGTGGTTACCATGGCGTCGCCCATCAATTCCCAATGGGAGGAGCTGGAGGAACCCACACCTGAACACACACACTTTATATTAGAATGTTGTTTGTAACACATACGACACAGAATAGACTGAGGGACAACTGACATATATAAAACAAGCTGTAGCCTACATAGCCTATTGATGGAGTGGGAGGAAAAAAATAATCTTATGACCATCAACATTTAACAGTCAGTATAACGTTGTTGCAATGTCGCATGTACAATGATGTTTTGATTTTGCTTGAACAGTCGCTAAGATTATATTTGGTTGTGATATTTGCAAATTCACTATTTTGGAAGCAGCAGATGTTAGCTAGAATGCTAACACTCATTGATATAGGCTGTAGCAAAAGCTAGTCAGCCATTTTACTGGTTGAGGTTTAAGTGTTTTTTAAGTATAATGCAATTGATTTGCGATGGTGACACAAACATTATATTAAGCAGGAAATTCCTACGAGCCTTAAAATCCAATTATAATCCAAAAGTAGTGTGAAATGCACTTATAAACTAGATGTAAATAGAGGCTTTTTTTGTTCGCGTTCTATAAGAACTCCCCCTTGTTCTGCCACCAATTTGCGCATATCGCCCTCGTGCGGCAGTGTTTGCAAACACAGAAAGGGGTCTATAATAACCGGTGATACTGTAAAATGAAGCTACCTTGATAGGGCTTTGACAATGAATGCTCCCTTTTCAGAAACTCCTCCATTTCATGATGACCATCTTCAGCAAAAGATCGACCTGCTGCAATAAGAAGAAACACAAACGTCCAATATGTTTTTAGAGCCATGTTCTGACGAAGAAAAACATCTGGCAGTTATGGTTTGTGGCCGCCGCTATCGTCGTTTGCGACTCCTCCCATTCAACCACATATTTTATTCTTCTTTGGTATCTTCATCTTCTTCTTCAGTGGGGTTTATCGGCGGTTGGCATCCAACGTTATGGTGCATTACCGCCACCTACCGTACTGGAGTGTGGGCCAGAGACAGGGATAAACTAAATCCTATCTGCCAACCCAGTTTCTCTTAGAAAAGACAACAAAATATGTGAGACTATATCTAATGACGTTCTACTCAATATACTCTTTAAACTAATTTCCTGTATCCCCTTCTCCCTCATACTTAATCTCATCCTCTCTCTTTCCCTCTGATACTGCCCACACTGTAGCAATACATGCTCCACAGTCTCTATTTCCTGACAATAATCATATTTTCCTGATGGATGCTTTCCTATCATGCTTAGTGTCTTATTCAACTGGCTGTGTCCCACCCTTAATCTTGTAAATATAGCCTCCTCTCTTCTGTCCCTTCCTGCCGTCCTCCCCTCCCCGACTTTCCTCTGTACTTGAAATAAATGCCATCCCTTAATATTTATATTACACTGCTCCTGCCATCTCTGCACCATCACTGTATATGTCAGTCTTTTTGCCTCTGCCTTGCTCATTGACACTTCAACATCAACATCCCCACTACTAGGTGCTTGTTTAGCCTGTGCATCTACTGCCTCGTTCCCCTCCACCCCCACATGGGCTGGAACCCAAGTAAATCTTATCTGAATACCCATCTGTTTAATCCTTCCATGGGTTGTTCTGCCACCAACTTGCGCACATCGCCCTTGTGCGGCAATGTTTGCAAACACAGAAAGGGGTCTATAAGGGGTCATCTTCCTCTACTACTCTCTTCACTGCCTCAGCATACGACACGTGCACTACTCTGATCCTGTCAACCTCAACCTGCCTTTCTCTCACCGGACACCGCTGATCTCCAGCACCATGGGTACCCCTACAGTTTACACACAAAACTTTTCCCACCGATACTACACATTCCTTTGTCTCATGTCCTCCTGCACACTTCTCACATCTAGGAATTTCCCACCTACACACTGCTGCGACATTACCATAAGCTTGACACCTAAACCACTGTAATGGATTCGGGACAAAAGCTCTCACGGGATAACTGACATCCTAACTTGACTTTATCTGGCATCAAAACTCAGTAGGACAGACAGTGTCTTCTCCGTTTCACCATGCTTTCCATCGGGTCTGTGTCGCACCAAACGGTGGGCGTCACAGACACCGGGAATCTTCAACTTCAGTTGATCCTCAATACTTAACGCCACACCACTTATCACTCCTTTCAACAGCGGAGAAGAAAGCTAGTCACAGTTCTTGTCCGCAGTTGCGTGATGAGGAGCGCACGCTCCCTCTGGACGGCAGAAACACAAAAAATCAACACGATTTCATCTTCATTTACAGTCAGTGTTCTATTATAATTCTCTCTTTGAAGAGGTGACATTGTGATATTGATCAATATCAAGTCAATGCTGACATAATATCAATAGAAACATGCAGAGGTTGGCCAAATCAGGTCAATATCTAGGCCTATTTATGATGCCTATTTATGATGCTACTGTCAGAGAGGAAGAGGTGATCCAGTATCTCTGCCAGAGACGTAAGAGGAAGCAAGACATCCCACTCCCTCATTTTTTCTGGTTCATATACAGTCAGTGAATTAAGCAGACCAGAACTAGCTGCTATTGCATTGGTGTTTTTGGGAAAGCTACCCTTTAAAGTGGCACTCCAGTCTCCTTTTCACCTAATTTAACACCTGATTTACTCAACAAAAGGAACATCTCAATAGGTCCAGGTATGCCATGATATATGTTCTCTATTGCTCCCCTATTGTTCCTCATGCAAGGGGGAGGCAGATGACTGTCACTTGAACCGATGTGGATGTGGTGGAGGAGTCAGGCGCAGGACACAGAGGTTAAGTCCAACAGACTTTAATAGTCTAATGATTATGAGGAAAAAACCCGACCTCGAATAATACCAAGAGGCGAGGGAAAATTACGCACATGCGTAAACACTAAACACGAAACAAAACAGAGTGCAAACACGTAGCTCTGACAAAGTGGCAGCAATCACAACACACAATCAGTCTAGTGCAAAAACAAGGAACTTATAAGACACGTAATCAACACACAAATGGACACAGGTGTAACAGACAGACAAAAGCAATCAAATAACGAAACATAGAGCGGTGGCAGCTAGTACTCCGGGGACGGCGAACGCCGAAGCCTGCCCGAACCAGGAGGAGGAGCAGTCTCGGCAGAATCCGTGACAGTACCCCCCCCCCTTGACGCGCGGCTCCAGCCGTGCGCCGACCCCGGCCTCGGGGACGGCCAGGAGGACGCGGACCCGGGCGCGTGGGATGCCCACGGTGGAACTCAGTCAGGAGGGATGGATCGAGTATGTCCCTGCTGGGCACCCAGCACCGTTCCTCCGGACCGTACCCCTCCCACTCCACGAGATACTGGAGACCACTCGTCCGGCGCCTCGAGTCCAAGATGGTCCGGACCCTGTACGCCGGGGCCCCCTCGATGTCCAAAGGGGGCGGAGGGGTCTCTCCTATCTCATCTTCTTGGAGTGGGCCAGCTACCACCGGCCTGAGAAGAGACACATGGAACGAGGGGTTAATATTTTTATACTCTATAGGCAGTTGTAACCTGTAACACACCTCGTTCAATCTTCTCAGGACTTTGAAGGGCCCCACAAACCGCCAACCCAGCTTCCGGCAGGGCAGGCGGAGGGGCAGGTTTCGAGTCGAGAGCCAGACTCGATCTCCCGGTGCGTACACCGGTCCCTCACTGCGGTGGTGATCGGCGCTCACCTTTTGTTGACGGATGGCACGCTGCAGATGGACATGGGCAGCGTCCCACGTCTCCTCCGAGCGCCGAATCCACTCGTCTACCGCAGGGGCCTCGATCTGGCTCTCGTGCCATGGTGCCAGGACCGGCTGATAACCTAAAACACACTGGAAAGGTGTTAAATTGGTGGAGGAGTGGCGGAGAGAGTTCTGGGCCATCTCTGCCCAGGGGATGAACCTAGACCACTCCTCCGGCCGGTCCCGGCAATAGGACCTCAAAAACCTACCCACATCCTGGTTGACACGTTCCACCTGCCCATTGCTCTCTGGGTGGTACCCCGAGGTAAGGCTTACCGAGACCCCCAACCGTTCCATGAACGCTCCCCAAACTCTGGAGGTGAACTGGGGACCTCGGTCAGACACAATATCCTCGGGGACCCCATAGTGCCGGAACACATGGGTAAATAGGGCCTCAGCGGTTTGTAGGGCAGTAGGGAGACCTGGCATTGGAAGGAGACGACAGGCCTTGGAAAACCGATCCACAACGACCAAAATGGTGGTATTCCCCTGGGAGGGGGGTAGGTCGGTTACGAAATCCACCGATAGGTGGGACCATGGTCGTTGTGGAACGGGCAGGGGATGTAGCTTACCCCTGGGCAAATGTCTAGGCGCCTTACACTGGGCACACACCGAGCAGGAGGAGACATAAACCCTCACATCCCTAGCTAACGTTGGCCACCAGTATTTCATGCTAAGACAGTGCACGGTCCGGCCAATACCTGGATGTCCAGAGGAGGGTGATGTATGAGCCCAATAAATAAGACGATCACGAACCTCGAGCGGAACGTACGTCCGCCCCACAGGACACTCGGGGGGAGTAGGGTCGGTACGCAGTGCCCGCTCGATTTCCGCATCGACCTCCCATACCACCGGAGCCACCAAACAAGACTCCGGCAATATGGAAGTAGGCTCGTTGGACCTCTCCTCTGTGTCATACCGCCGGGACAGGGCGTCTGCCTTACCATTCTGGGACCCTGGGATGTATGTGATCTTAAAAACAAACCGGGTTAGGAACATATTCCACCTAGCCTGACGAGGGTTCAATCTCCTAGCTGCCCGGATGTACTCCAGGTTACGGTGATCAGTCAGAATGAGGAAAGGGTGTTGAGCCCCCTCAAGCCAATGCCTCCACACCTTTAGGGCCTGGACTACGGCTAACAGCTCCCTGTCCCCAACGTCATAGTTGCGCTCCGCCGAGCTGAGCTTCTTGGAGTAGAACGCACAGGGGCGGAGTTTAGGTGGCGTGCCGGACCGTTGTGACAGGACTGCCCCAATACCGGTCTCGGACGCGTCTACCTCTACTTGGAATGGTAAAGAGGGATCCGGATGCGCCAGCACCGGAGCCGAGGTGAACAGGTTCTTCAGTTTGACAAATGCCCTGTCCGCCTCAGCCGACCACTGCAAACGAACCGGACCCCCCTTTAGCAGGGACGTAATGGGAGCTGCAACCTGTCCAAAACCCCGAATAAACCTCCGGTAGTAATTAGCAAAACCCAAGAACTGCTGCACCTCTTTTACAGTGGTTGGAGTTTGCCAATTACGCACGGCCGATACCCGGTCTACCTCTATCTCCACACCAGACGCGGACAACCGATAACCCAAAAAGGAGACGGACTCCTGGAAGAACAGGCATTTCTCTGCCTTGACATACAAGTCATGCTCCAACAGTCTTCTCAACACTCGGTGCACCTGGGCTACATGCTCGGCTCGTGTAGAAGAGTACACTAGGATGTCGTCGATGTAAACTACTACACCCTGCCCATGCATGTCCCGGAAAATCTCGTCAACAAAGGATTGGAAGACTGAAGGAGCATTCATTAACCCGTATGGCATGACGAGATACTCGTAATGACCCGAGGTGGTGCTAAATGCTGTTTTCCATTCATCCCCCTCCCTAATGCGCACCAGATTGTACGCGCTCCTGAGATCCAACTTTGTGAAGAACCGCGCTCCGCGAAATGACTCCGTCATCGTCGCAATCAGTGGAAGTGGGTAACTGTATTTAACTGTGATCTGATTGAGACTACGGTAATCAATACACGGGCGCAATCCCCCGTCCTTCTTCTTCACAAAGAAGAAACTCGAGGAGACCGGGGAAGTGGAGGACCGTATGTATCCCTGTGCCAAGGACTCGGCTATGTAAGTCTCCATAGCCGCTGTTTCCTCTTGAGACAGGGGATACACA